CCATACAAAACTCTTCAGAAAAGAATGAATTTTAATGAAATACCGACGCCTACATATCAACATGAATATAGCATCAGTAACACTGCATTATATAATATGAACTCCATTATACCCACAAATTAATATAAATGAATGCAGACATACCTTGGAAGTTTGGCCACAAATGTTGTAAATTAAATTGTTTCAAGAAACAAACTCACTGCATCAGTATCACTCATGATGGACGTCGTACATGAATCAGATTGAAGAAAAAAATCTTTTTTAATTGATGCGAAACGATACCGTCTGTCGTGTTCGAATATGGCGAGCGCGAAATAAATCCAGGCAATTGGGATTTAAACCTTCATTTCCTCACATTGTCATTTTGTCAAAAATATAATATTTTTGACGCCAAGTGTGATATGTCAAAATAATAATTTTGCCAGAACGACTCGAAAGATATGTTTCTACCATATACGGTTCTATAAACAAATAATCATAAAATAATCAGTCACACAATTAAATGAACAATAATTATAATCTTCAATACTACTACCAAATAATCACACTTGATGATCACGTGATATATGCCGTCAGATGGCACATTCCTTAGCATTAAAACACAATAGGCAAGGGTGCAAGGGCACGCGCAGACGCGTGACACACGTGTGTTTAAGCTAAAGACGTACTCTTGAGGCAAGAATCGATAAATAGAAAATCTAATTCTTAAAGACCAATGCCTCAAAACAAGGACTCAATTCGTCAAGACAATTAGGAAATAATGCGAAGAACATGAAATCTCTTTTGGCAAGAACAGGCGAGTTTCAACTAAATACAGGGTGTCAATTTGAAAACTTCTCACCCTCAATATCTCCCTCCAAGTCGATGATATGGAAAAACGAATAGACAGGTCGATTTTATTTTCGAGGGGGACACTTTGAATTGCTATTTTTGACCATCATGGTTCAACCCCCTAGGAGGGGTAGATGTTACCCTCAGAATATGAATAGGGAAGAGGGGTCAAGTGGCACATCATTTCGAAGGGCGTTCAATTCTCTTTCCAACGGTACCCTACTTTACTATTTTTTGACGAGCAATTTCTGAAAAATAGCGTTCTAAACCTACAGAAGTGATCTAAACTTGCCTGCACAAAGATGCATGATTTTCAGGTTAGTATTCGAACAGAGATTTTTTTATTGATTCTCCTTCCAGTAAAACTGGACAGGAAAACAGGTAACAACCTCACATCTCTTCAACAGGGGCAGCTCCAATAAATCAACATCAATAATCTAATAGTGACATTTCGATGATAGCTTATTTGCGTTTATCATTGGAATTTCAATTCTACAGATGGCCTTCCTTTTTTGTTCCTCTCTTGCCACTGCTGATTAAAAAAAACTCTGTTTTTTGAGCAAAAAATTGTTCAGCAAATTCAAACGATCTAGTAGTATTATTGATTGATGAGTTTTATTTGTTGAGCTAATCAGTAATACGTTTATTCAGAGTAGGTACCTATAATTGTGAAAATGGTTTACACTCTTTCAAATAGAACTGAAATGATTGTGATTTATGGAGAGGCTGGAAAGTGCGCACGAAGAGCGGCATTTCTTTTTAATGAAAGAAATCCAGATTGTAATGTTAGTCACCGGTATGTGCTTGATTTGGTGGAAAAGTTTTACGAAACTGGTTCGGTGAAAAATAAAAAAAGGAATAATCTTGGAGTACTGAATGAAGAAGCTCAAATTGAAGTTTTGGGAACATTTGCTGCAGAACCTACTAGCTCCTTACGTTCAGTGGCAGAACAGACGGGAATGTCACACGAGACTGTGAGAAAAGCACTGAAATTACATAAATTTCATCCATATAAGATGCAGATTCTTCAAGAGCTCCATGAGGATGATTATGATAGAAGAATAGAATTTTGTGAAACGATGTCAAATCGAGTCAATGCCATCCCTGATCTATTATTAAATATCTGTTTCAGCGATGAATGTTCATTTTTTCTGAATGGAAATGTGAATAGACAAAATTGTCGCTATTGGAGTGACGAAAACCCTCACATTTTTCGAGAAGGACATACACAACAAACACAAAAAATTAATGTTTGGGCTGGTATTCTTGGAAATGCCATTGTTGGTCCTTTATTCATTGAAGAAAATTTGACTGGAAATCTGTACCTAGATATGCTTGAAGATACTATCGATCCTCTTATAACTCACGAGCTAAAAAATCAAATTGATGCAGACGGTAATTTACTTCTGCAGGAGGATCTGTTATATTTCCAGCAGGACGGTGCCCCACCTCATTATTTTGTTCCTGTCCGACAGTGGTTAAATGACAGATTCCCGGATAGATGGATTGGCAGAAGGGGAGCAACTGAGTGGCCTCCGAGATCACCGGATTTGACTCCTTTAGATTTTTTCCTTTGGGGACATCTTAAATCCGTCATTTACAAAACACAACCGACGGATATTGATGAACTCAAAGGACGAATTACAGCAGCATGCCGCTCGATCCGTGGTGAAGTTTTCCAGAATTTAGAGAGGAGTTCGAAAACAGACTTTATTACTGTTTAGAACAAAACGGACAACATTTCGAACAGTTTATAAGATAGTGAATAGATGTTTGAAATTACTATCTGGCACTCCGAAAGTTTATTTTCAAAGTAATATAACCAACAAACAAAAAATCAAACGTGTGTAGACTAGATTTATTTCTATTGTAACGATGCCACCTAACCTTCTAACCATTTTCATCAATGGAAGATTCAAAACAATAATTTTCGTCCTGAAGACAATGTATCTGAGTTAAGGCAAGTTCTAATCACTGGTTATCAAAAAATAGTGAAGTAAGATATACCGTTGAAAAGAAAGATATTATGTTGCCCCTGTTGAAAAGATGTGAAGTTGTTACCTAATTTCCTGACTAGTTTTACTGAAAGGAGAATCAATTCAAAAATCTCTGTTCAAATACTAACCTGAAAATCATGCATCTTTGTGCAGGCAAGTTTAGATCACTTCTGTAGATTTAGAACGCTATTTTTCAGAAATTGCTCGTCAAAAAATAGTAAAGTAGGGTATCATTGGAAAGAGAATTGAACGCCCTACAAAATGATGTGCCACTTGACCCCTCTTCCCTATTCATATTCTGAGGGTGACATCTACCCCTCCTAGGGGGTTGAACCATGATGGTCAAAAATATCAATTCAAAGTGTCCCCCTCGAAAATAAAATCGACCTGTCTTTTCGTTTTTCCATATTATCGACTTGGAGGGAGATATTGAGGGTGGGAAGTTTTCAAATTGACCCTATTTTCTTAAATGAAGATAATCAACTGCCAAGATGATATATTATCTTGTACTAAGAAGTCATTTTCATCTGTGTAGGACACATATATAGAACAAAATGAAATTACAGACGATAACTCCCCGGACTTTGCATGCATCAGATATGACCCAGATACACAAATTTTTTTGAGATATTTAGCAAGATATGAGAGATATTCCAGATTATAAACAGCTCAAAAAAATATGGATGTCAAGGCTAAGGTACAAGGATATGATACCAAAAAAACTTTTTTTGAATTAGTTGCCTTATACACGATAAAGTTGATTCAGTTGATTCAAAGGTGTTGAGTATATCTGATGTCAAGGTATAATATTCGCTAATTCGAAATTTACACCGAAACACGTTGGTTTGGGAATAATGAATCATCAAGAGACATGATCGAAAAAATTATCGTTTTGTGGACACTGTATCGTATAAAAATATTAACACTTCGCAATTCGATAGGTATCAAATGAAGTTTTTTTGAAGTTTCCACAAGGATATCTGATTTTTATTTCGATATTATATGCATCATGTTTTGTTTCGATATTTCTCAATTTGGTAATATGGGTGACATTTTACTCTGATGGATCAAAAATGTACTTTCGACATAGAATCATTCATAAAAGAAATTGTACTACCGTTTTATACGTTCGAAGATTGAATATGCATCGGTTGTTTGGAGCCCATACTATCGGAACAATACTGGTCGTCTTGAAAGTCTGCCGTTTTTAAAACTCCAATTGGTACCTACAGTTTATGGAGAGCTTCTTGAAACTTTCCAATTTTTAAGCCTGCACGTAAGAAGACAACACTTCTCTATCCTGATCCTTCATAAGGTTGTTAACAATCTAATTGACTGTGCAGAATTGTTGGAAAAATTGAATTTTATTATCCCGAGATAACCTTCCAGAAATTGTGATACATCTTACTTAGAGTCTCTTCGAACCAACATATTATATGAAAATTCACCTTTGTATAAGATGTGTAGTACATATAACTTGGTGGCTAGGAATCTAGATCTGTTCAGCTGTGGAATAACTCATGTCAAAACTTCTTATCTTTTTTCTCCTTCACTAGTGAATAACAAGATAGTCAGGGTATTTTAATTTTGTCAAACTGTTTCGTCTATCCATTATGCTTATGTAATATACAATGCATATGTTTTTGTTTTGTTCTTTTTTCCTGTTCTGTAAATGAGGCAACCTGTTGAACAGTGTAAGAAATTAATAAATGAAATAAATAAATAAAATAAATGAACGCAAACATGCTCAAACATCGCGATAGATGTTAAGGTGAATCGAACAAAACAGTTACCGAGTGAACAGATCATAGTGAAACTGAGTCAAATATCATACTTGTAATATTTCTTGGTCTCCCAACCAGTCAGTGCGCCAGTCATTTGCAAATGAACAGTTAATAATGATAGCTTTCAACTTGATGGCTGTATCTCCTGCTTCCCAAGGTCTCATTTTTTGTGTGCATCAGACAATCGAATAAAAAATGTTACAATACATGTCTAGCCCTGTAGAGCATTCCAAGTTATTTAAAATTAATAAGACAAGAGCGATGAGAGTGGAAACCAATATTCAATTATCCCTACTCTTCACCCTCGGGACGAAGTTATAGGACATTCATTCAACGTATTTGCTCATAGATCAACAAATAGAAAAATAGTTGATGATATCGCATCGGCTGAGGAACTTGCTGTTTTTTCTTTTTCCGAATTTGCGTTTGATAAATCGTTCGGTTCAAACGGTGAAGTATTTCTGCAGGAAAAAGAATCCTGAATCAAGAGCAGAAATGCAGCTACCAGTAAAATTAGCTATTGGATCTCTCAGTGCCCTGTTTTTGATCATTATTCTTGGTTTTGTATCTTTTCCGAAGTTGATATCCTCCAAAGTAAAAGGGGTGAGTTAAACATAGAAAAAGTGGAAATTGGAAGGTATATACTTGATATTTGAAAAGAAAAGAACAAATTCACGTTTGCTACAATACTCGTGTCCTATAGATATCTACAGAGAATTGAAATGATCCCAAATTTTTGTTTGTTGAGGATGAATGAATATTAACCATTTGGGAATATCGAGTGGAATCACAGTTCTGGCATCTTCCCGATTGAATACCTAGTCCTTCGCGAGAAGAAAATGTTGGGATTTTAAAATATCTGCTTGAATTTCTCTTCTGATAATTATATATTTCTGTATACTTTATATCATTGTGAGCCCTCACTGAGATTAAGAATATTGTCCGATTTCGATTTTGTTGATACTTACAAGAATTCTGACATACATTGGGGTCAATATACAAACAGGTTTCGACTTTTCACATTGTGTTACTGAGTTGATATTCACATTTTTGATAAAGAAGAATGTGGAAAACGTGTGTCACGGTTATTATAGAAGAGAAAGGCATGTGATAAAGTTTGAGAGGTGAATTGAAACAAGTTTATTGAATATTTAAATTTGTGGACAGCTCAGAATTTTAAAAAATTAGGAATATACCATGAAAATGGGGACAATAAAAACAGAAATGTTATAGTTGTTCAAAAGATTCAATTATGATGATGAGACATATTCAAGGTATGTCTAGATCAATTTTCTAGATGACGTTTTGATTTTTTCTCACCTCAGTACCTAGAGTTTATTCACCAATGCACAGGTGTCACGATCATTATGTTCGACTAAAGTAACGAAAAGACATTGTTGGCAATGGAAAATTTGATGAAATTATGTTATCACATATGCCATGAGTGAACAAGATAGGATTTGGAGTTTCTAGAATCGAATAAGAGGAATATGTGACTTTTTTCAACAAATGCTCCATATTTGTTTCTATTCGCCCCAAGTTTCTAATCACTGTGTTTTACCATAGACAACAGAAAAGTTTTATTTCGATATAATTTATTAAACATACTGTGTAAGAATTCAACGACATGAGGATGTGTCTTCGCATATATATATAGTTTGCATAACTCACACAGGTCTATGAAATTCCATTTCGTGATTCATGAAAAAATAACAAAATTTTTTGATTATTCGGAGAAAACTATGCAAATGAAAACAATAGCAGACATAAAAAATCACAAAAAACGTGAACACTGAATGTTTGGTGCTTCCTCATGCAATATCTGCGAAGTGGTTAGGTGAGAACTATATGATCAATATAGAGGTATGGTTTCAACGAAGTACGTCATCTATAGTAATTAACTAGATGAAATAATGAATAATCAACGATTATAATTGCCTCCTCGTAGCCGTGATTCAAATTCAAATAAATATGTAATTGTGTGTGAGTGGGACATGTCAGGAAAACCGCCAACCAGACATAATTCCATGTCTTCGACTGGCTTTTCTTGAATAGTGGAGAAATAATTTGTTTGTTCAGTATATACAGGGTCTAGATATACCAACAAAAATCTGACCTCCCTATAACTAGGAAACAGAATCCTTAATCAGAAATCGCTGGGACCCGTCGATTCTTATACTAAGAACACCTTAGAAGGAGCATTTCTCACCGTTGAACAAACTTGATGTGTCATCATTTCAACCCTATAGCAAACTATGGAACCTCAAATGGAACTACCCTTCTTTCAACACAAGACTCCAATGGTCATTCGATTGCAAATTCGTTGGTACATGGTTTTCCGAAATCGGTCTAGATTTGACAGAGTTATTGAACAAAATCAATATTTGACATTAATTGTCAAATAACTGAAATTTGCGTTATGATGAGTAACCAAAATTGGCACTAATCTTATACAGAATCACATATTCATTAGTATTTCGAAAAATGATTTCCTATCACCATGACTATGACTATGCGACCAAATAGAAAATAGAACATTGAATACTTCCTTATCATGTTGTTGCTGTACGGCATTTTCAGATGATCATTTCCCAGGTCATTGGGTTGGTGGAAGAGCTTCCATCGAATGGCCACCAAGATCACCAGATCTAACCTTTATGGGTCCATTTGAAATCGTTATTGTATGCCACGCATTGTGAAACACTAGAAGTGTAACGTGAGAGGATTATGAAGGAATGGCGATTAATAGGATGTCTCCAGGAAAGTTCGACAAGAATTGGACAAAAGTTTGTATCATCATCCGCAAGTTGATGAAGGTCATTCTGGAATATACATTGAATACAACATCAATATGGCGTCAGCTTTTTCAGTTGTGTATTCAGTTCAGAGTATTTTATTTTTTGGGAATTTATCGAAACAACAAAACAGATTGATGTGGATATTATTATAATGGAAATCTTTCAATTAGGCAATCCAACTGAAGTTAGAATCAACATGGCGCCTGGTTGGCACCATATATAAAATCAAGGAATGATGTGACAGGAAGAATTAGATACTTACTGTTTCTGATTTTCTTTGATCTATGATCATATAACTTGTACTTCTGATTCCAACAGGAATTTGCGAATAAAAACGATTTATCACACATGAATATCTTCATCGTGTGCCAACCAGCGCATTGTTTGACAGGTCATTAGATTGCCTAATTAATGGACAATTTTGGTATAAGAGGTTATACCAAGAATGTCGGTTTCTCAATCATTGTCAAGTATGTATTTTGTTCAATAACTCTGATGTCCAATCTCAATTGATTTCCAAAATGGTTCACCAACGAGTTCGCAATCAAGAAAGCTTCGGAATGATGTGTTGAAATTGAGGTAGTTCTATCTGAAATTTCGAAGTTGGGGTTGCTTAGGGGTTAGGAGGATGAGAACATCAAGTTTATTCAACTGACAAAAATGCCTTCACCAAGTATACAAATCAACAAGTCCTGTCGATTTCTGTTATAGGATTCAGTTTTCTAGTTATACAAGGTGATTCACATAAGAACCGACATAGAGCAGGGGCATGTAGGGGGTCCCAAAATATGGCAATTTAACGCAACTTACCTTTATCCGAAGTTGCTTCCCTAAGGAGTTATAGGCTCATCGAAAATTGAAAAGTTGGCTATGAAAATAAACGTACAACAAGAAAGTTGGTCATCAATTGTGATCAGTAGAAATTGGCTGGCAAATTATTATTTAGATACGTAACAAAATACGTAAAGTAAGGACAGATACTGAAATGTGAAAAACTGGGATTAACAACTAACCAAAATAAACACAAAAAACTCAAACAACTACCAGAACAAACAATTGTTTATCGATGAATTACTTAATTGAACAACTTACTTGCTTTATTGTCAAGTTTGACGTTTATTTCCATAGCCAACTTTTGAATGTTCGATGATTTTAAATAACACACCTAGAGCACGCGTTTTCAGTTATTCGAGTTTTTGATGAAAATGATGAGGTTTTTCGAGAAATTACTAGACTAAGAAAAAATTGAGAATTGAATTGCCCACGAAACAAAGCAAAATTCTGTTGAATATTAATGGTGCGCCACCCGGTATACCCCTTTTACAAATTTCAATTGAACTCTAGTTACTGTCAAGTAACGCCCTAAATACTTTCACAAAGTTTACCAAATTCAATTGCTCCAAGTGCAAGAAAAACGGAGATATTGATTTTTTTCAAAATTTATAACTTCACTTTCAAAGCCTATAACTCCTTAGGGAAGCAACTTGGTATAGAGTTGCGTTGAATTGCCATATTTTGGGACCCCCTACATGCCCCTGCTCTATGTCGCTTCTTATGTGAATCACCCTGTATTTAGGAGGAGTCAAATTTTGTTGCCAAACCCTATATTTCGTCTAGGAGTGAATACATCAGTGAATATTCAACTGCTTTTTTCCAGGTTCGTCAATTGTTGAAATGCTTGGAGATATCTTGGTGTGAAATGCTTCACTATGAATAATCTAGGAATATAGATATTGACGGGTAGCATATCTGCAATTAGGATAATATAAGATATCAGAATTACTGAGTGATGAAGTCTTCTGAAATTCCTATAAGATCCTAGATTAACTCTTCATGTGATAGTAGATTCAAAATTTTTTATTAAATCCTATTGATACCATACACCACTTTCAAATACATATCACATCGAGGTATTGATTCAATCTAACAATTTCGATGATTTTTTTACAAGTTGTTGTGTTCATCACATTGTGTGAGTTTTCATGTGATGAATTTCAGGCATTACACAAAAAAATAATACTGATATATTATATTCGACATAATGAATAATGTCTCGGGCTGATTGATTTATAAAATTTATCAACTGGAAATAATACAAGAATACATTGAATCCACTACGCAGGGGGGATACGGATATCACGCAGGTAGCTATAGCTGCCTCCGTGGTGACGTTAGCTGTTTCTCTGAGACTTCAGGGTCTGCTGTACGAAACTACAAATGTGCGGCTGGCTTCTGTTTGTTGACTCCGTTTAAATGTTGTTTCGTTTTCTACCAAGTGTTGCCAAATTCTGCACTTTGTTTCACCGTACTGATGAGGGCCGAAAGCCCAAAACACGTGTACCCAGACAGCACCAGATATTCCATGAATCTCCCTATCATATTTCTTTTGAAACATTGGAATATTCTAGGAATGATCATTCTCTGAACATGCGAATGGAAATTCCTCAGATATTCATAGAATATATCCAAGAGAATAATCCATGTTGAATATTCCTGAAATTTTCCAATGAACATATTCTCAAATAAAAAAAGTGACCCAAGTTGGCATCAAACTCGTGACCTCAAGACTATCAGACCAACGCCTTGACCACTAGGCCAGTAATATCGAAGTGAATGATGTTGTACATATCAATTCCTTGTGAGAGCGTTGTTCGAAATCGGATCATAAACACTTTTTGTTTCAAAGTCCCCTTACATCTAAATATTTCGTGAATATACACCACAGAATATTCAGTTGAGAATATTTCATGAATATACCGCACAGAATATTCAGTTGAGAATATTTCATGAATATACCCCACAGAA